TAAATTTTGGCATTAGTTAAATGGCTTTTTGGAGGACGGCTGACTTTGTATAATGTCCTTCGCATGTGTGTGTGTGGGTGTGTTGTGGTCTCACAAAACAGACTACTCAACAATCGAAGTCAAACATCACTGAGTGTAGGCAACTGTTTAAAACCCCAAATGGTCAATTGAATGAAGGTAATTTAAAATGCATCTTCAGTGCTCAAAATAAGACCAATTACAACGGTCAGGGGTGATGGGGACCAACAGGTACATTGTATGCAACACCATAATTCTAATTGTCTCTAATGGGTTGACAAACATTAATTGACAGCCTAATTGTTTGTCCATTTGCAGGGAGGGGTGGTCTACACTCTACGTATTCCAGTTAATATCTACGGAAGCAACAAGTTAATAAGCCGCATAATTTGTATAAATACATTGTCTTAGCAGGGAAGATGGATTGTCGTTTTGAGAATACTTCTGTGCAGCCATCAGCTTCCGTGCACTGCAGGCGGATAACTGGCAACCAGCTCATGGAGCGGGGGCAGCAGCAGTCACGAGACGATACATCCGATACCTATTAGTTGACACAATACCAGTACACAATGGGATAGACTTTCCTGCAAAATGACATTGTGAACAATTTAACTGCTTCGGTGGCTTTGTGTTCGCTATTGGCCAAATTGCCCTAAAATTGAGTGCATGCGCGTAAGAAGGCATTGGGGTTTGTATGGGACGTGTGGGACTGCTATTGTGGAAAAATGAGAATTCCCAAACAACGACCATTTTCATTTGTTAACTTTTTATTGCAAAGGGGGATTTCCTTTGATTTTATTGTGCGGTTTTTGTTATTTGTCTTTCCAAGCACCCATCGTCTGTGTGTCCGTCCATCCACCCTTCACATTGGTGGGTAGTGGTTGACAGCACAGCATACTTCTCAGTCGCCACCAAAACTCTACACTGTGTAGAGAACGTTGGGAGCATGCGCCAAATATTTGGCGGGAACTTATCTGGTCGCAAATACAAAGCTAATGTTCACACACACACACACATGTCAGGTGCCATATTTTGTGCGTTAACAATATCATAATCGAATAGCCATATCCAGCCAACATGTCGACATTGTGGCCGTTCCTCACAAACAAAAGACCATCATCGATTGGCAATTATCACTTCTACAGCTAACCACAAGTACGTGAGCATTTACACTCGCTCACACGCACGAAGAAAACCCTACCGGTTCTGCGGATCTCACGAGGAATTAAGATCCTCATATAAGTTGTCGATAGGACCCTTACTACTCTGCACCTGAAGATACCAAAAATAAATTTCATTAAATGACGAAAATAAAGCCAGAACTGCATCCTGCGACAATCCACCATTCACACGAGCGAGTGCAAGCCTGATTATTGTTGAGCCTCCACATACCCAAACACGGCCAAACGATACACAAACAAATCATTTACGCGATTCTACCGTCAGTCCCCACACAGACGTGCAACCGGAACGAAACGTGCTGCCAAGCCGCTAACTCTACACGGCGAATACAACAATAGAAAGAAAACAACAGGGTAGACTCACTTTTTGTGTTGGCTTTTTAGTCGCATGTGCTACAGTTACAACCACGTCCAAGTGTTCGGCGGCAGTCGCAGCAGTGGTAGCAATACCTTAGTCTGCTGATACACATTCCGGACAACCGCAAAATTCATTTTGTGTTATTCACTCGGTCGCCCCACATGAAACAACAGAGGTGTATAAAAAACATAAATCGGCTGTATCGGTCCGACAACTCGATATCCATTCAATTGAATTGATGATTAGAAAACCAGTGTAAATATCGAAGAATTGTGACCAAATTAAACGACCGGAGCGTGAGTGAGCGAGTTCAACCAAATAGATCACATAATACATTCGCGAATAAAGATACGATCCGATACATACTGCATGTCAATTTTGAAACAGCGGAGGATGCACTGAAACAATTGGTACGGCAGACATACATATATCTACAAAGTGAAATTAAATGTTAATTTTAAATTGAATCTTTCGCGAACGATTAGCTCCCAAATGAGCTTTGGCGTTTGTGTGTCCGATGATAATTGTAAATTGCTGGATATCGCAACGTGGCAACTGATCTTCACTTTAATGATGATAGTTTGAACCAAGTGTTTATAGATCATTGCATTTCTAACGATGTGTGCCTAGCCGACGGGACGCAGCCTGATATAGTCCCGACTAGAGGAAATTGTTGTATGTGTATTACATGTGAAGACTACTTTTGTCTAAATAGACAAGTAATACCCTGTGCAAATTCAATAAAGGATTTTTATATTCTCCTTCTGAAAATTAAATTGATTTCGATCTAAAACCCTTTCTAAATGTACATGGATCCCAGCTAAGGTTTGTTCGAACTAACAAGTAACCGTACACTTTGTCTCTACAAAATGGGCTTATTTATGACGAAAAGGGGTTTTACCACTCAAACTGTAATATCCAATTAACACTCCTGCTTCACAACATGCGAATCGACCGCAAAACATTCCCTTAAAATTCAGCTAATGTCCAATTGTTTGTCAAATAATATGCATAATAGTTAAGTATGACAAAGTTGTCATAGTTAACTATGACAAAGACATCAAAATAAATTTCAATCTTAAAAACAGATTCTATAGTTTACAAAACGTATATGAAATCTTATGGAAATCTCGCGGACCTGACAAACCTTGTGTCACCCCAATAGGCCGCTATTTGTAAATGGGATTTGCTATGCATTGACAATTCAAAATACTAATTTATAGACAATTTGGTAGAAAAACTTGTTTAAACTCCCTAAAACACCGAAATAAAATAATGGGGTACCGTTATATAGGAGCTTACATAAAAATGGACCGATATCGATCATTTTTGTTAAGCCACATTTCCAATACCAAAAATCCTAGGAGTATTATCAATGTATGTGCAAAATTTCTATCGTGATTTCAACAGACGGACACCCAGACATAGATAAATCGACATAGAATTTTATTCTGATCAAAGGTATATGTACATGATTTCGGAAATGAATATTTCAAAGTGTTATAGTACGTTTACATTGTACCGGATTTCGTTAACCCAGTGGGTTTCAATTGTCAATTCCATTGCATACATGTCAAATAAATCCTCATAGAATGCCGTAAATGCCGTTTTACCAACAGAATATTAAATTTAATATAAACGCCACCTTATGTTGGAGAGTATAAAATTATAGAGCAAATGTAATAGGGTATGGAAAATATACTCAAAAATTTTCTTAGAACTCAAAATAAGAAAATCGTATTTTTGAAGGAAAAAAACTTTCGTAAACGATATTCTCGTAAAATTAACTTTTTATGTTATTTTTCGCAAATAAACGATTTAAGATATTTTTATTGAAACTTACAAAACATTCGGACAATTATCATAAGACGTAGAAAACTTAAACTGTGTGCTTGGCTATAAGTTACGACAATTATGGCGCAGTCTAGATCGTTTTGAATTCGATGCAATATGGTATATCAACCGGGATTTTTACAAGTGCGTCGCTCAGTTCAAATGTTTTTCAATACAAAGAAAACATGTTTTTCAAATTGACGAAAACGTAAAACATGTACTTGTCAGATTCAAGCTACCGTTTTGAATTCGATGCAATATGGTATATCAACCGGGATTTTTACAAGTGCGTCGCTCAGTTCAAATGTTTTTCAATACAAAGAAAACATGTTTTCGTAATAATTTCTATCTACAAACTTGCAAATTGACGAAGTCAACGTAAATCCGGCATCCATTGATCGTTCATACTTGTCAGATTCAAGCTACCCCTGAAAGCAAGCGAGTCCATTTGGCTTTGTGTGTTCATTAACAATTTGCAGGACTAAATTACATGATGTTCCTTTACGCACGGGAGTGTTTATTCGTAAGAAAAAAATAAAAATTAATTTCATTCTTAACAGAATGACAAAACACATACCTAACACTAAATGTACGTATATTGATGATATACCTATTTTTACTAAAGTGTGCCAGGAACTTGAATTTGTACGACCGTATTACCCAAATACGTCGAACTGAACAATATCAAGGATCCAAACTGAAAAGTTTTAAAATGTGTCCAAAAATTTCATATTCGTATTGAACATTTTTTATTTCCTTTATATGTTTTGTTTCTAATTTCAACGGACATATGTCGATCACATTCATATACAGTAAAGTACGGTTATAAGGAACTATTAGGGACTAAGTAAATTAATTCGTTGGAGAAGAAGTTCGTTATATCCAAGGTCAGGTAGGATCTAGGATTATCTGGTATATATATATAGTTATATATATAGTCCTTTATAAAAAATCTTCGCTATAAGAGTAAAGGTTTGTAAGAGAAATATGTATTAAAAGTTCGGGACCGGGAAATGTGTTCGCTATACAGAAAATTCGTTAGAAGCGTGTTCGTTATAAGCACATTCCTTTTACTTTGGTGGTGAATAACGTCGAACGAGCTAATGGAAATGTAGGTAGAACTCTAAGACTGAAATGTCTGTCTGGCTGACGAATCCTGCTCCCACTATAAACTTTAAAATCATTGAATGTGAAATTGATAGCAATGTACAAGTGGACCCAATGGGAATAACGTATTTATAAATTATCAACTGTATCACAGTTATGTAAAGGAATCAATTCGGATCTTATGTTTTATACGCACCGAAATATTATATGTGTACTACTAGAAAAATATGTATGTGGCAGGAAAAATTAATAAGATTAATTTTTGTACTAATTTTTGGTTAATCTAACGGTATTTTTTAAGAATAGTAAATACTCTTTACTTTAGTTTACGTTCTTAATACTATATGTAAAATTCTATTGCTATTTGTTTGCAGACTATAAATGGTACCTTCAGAACGGCTCAGCTATCCAGATCAATTAATAAAACACAACGCCACACTTAGCCTCCACAAAAATCAGATCAAATTCTGTCGTAACAACGTGACTGATAACTGCGCGACAGGATGCCGACAACCACCAACCACGCAAGCCACCAACAAATCAACAACAGCGATCATATCAAACGACCCATGAATGCCTTTATGGTTTGGTCCAGAGGACAGCGTCGGAAGATGGCTCAGGATAACCCAAAGATGCACAACTCCGAGATATCGAAGCGATTGGGGGCAGAATGGAAATTGTTAACGGAATCAGAGAAACGTCCATTTATCGACGAAGCGAAACGTTTAAGGTAAGCATAAAAGAATTTGTATTTGTCTACTAAACATATACGCATGGTAGATACAACATTAAATTCACCATTGCGTATGTAAATGTGATACAAACAACATAATTACCAACATAACGGGCAGAAGTAACATACTCTTCGTTGGGCTCTGTACATCCGATCAAGAAAATGCACCAGCAATTGAATAATTAACTTAATCCGATGTGGAAGACAAAATTTTTGCTAAAAGTAAAATTACAGTTTTCTCACGACAAATTGGAAAATTTGTACAAAATGTTGGCTTTATATTTTTGGAAATTTTATTGTTGGGAGAATAATCTCTCTTACGCTACACAAAAGAGCTTACTGATTAATTACGTCTACCTTGTTGACGTGAAAGGAATTAAAATAAATTGTAACGTGAAAAATTGCCATTTGAGGGTCGTACCTAATTTATTGCGCTCCGTACAAAAATACTCACCTTTACAGAGTTTGTAAGACGTCCGTATTACCCAAATACGTAAGGACTTTATTTGCCTCTACGCCAATTGAAAACTGCAAAAATGGATGAAAACTGTTTTCTAATTGATCGAAAAATGTTTACATTTATAGAAAAACAAATTTTTCAACGGCTGGAATTCTATTTTCAAAAAACAAAAATTCCAAAATGGAATGGGAATGGAATGGGAATCTGTTCAGATATCAATATTACTCCGATCTAAAAAAAAATAGGCAATAAGTTTGGTTTAGAAACTGTTTATTTCCTACTCGTGTTATTAACTCGAGCTATGCTAATACGATCAATAAATCATCTAAAAACCCTGTACCCGAGCAGTGCTAGTGTGAACATACGGTCACAGCCCAAAAATTGATCCTGTCGATTATCCTGATAAGAAAAAAGGATACAAATAACATTTTTGAATTCAGTGGCCCACAATCTAGAGACGATGAAAGTTTCGTCCCACAATTCGAAAAAATAATTAAAGCACCATTCGGGTTAATTTATTCAAGAGAACATTGTGATTCGAGTGAAAATTTTTCGTTTGCAATTATTGGTAGTTTTAACGCGCTTTCATAATATAACAACAATGTGAATCGAGCTCATAAATGTCTTAGTAGTAGTTTGTTTGAGATATCAATTTCGGACTAATTTAATTGTTCCCTTTGTGCAGTTGAGCATTTTATGCCACCGACCGTATTCAAACAAACCATTTGTGTGCTTTCATTTAAATTAAATAATTGATAGAGGCCATAACAAAAGGTTTCATTCATTGACAAATCAATTCTACACCCCACCGACGTGAAGAACAATGATCACCTTTGATTTTTTTTTATTTTAACAGTGAAACATAATCGTGGACTGGTCTATTATTCGCCGAGGCGATTCATTACCTTACACAATCTTCGTATCTATTATAAGAATACACGACATTACCAACCCCTATTAGGGAGGATTGATGCATATATATGTGTATATGTATGTATGTTAGATCAATATTAAACTACTTATCGCCGGGCTCTCCTATTTTAAGCTGTAGTAAATTTTCAACTTGAACATTTCAATTAGGACCCCCAAAATCTCAAAGCCTTTGACGGTAGTAATAATTCAAAACCGATCATGGGGCTTTGAATTATTAGCTAAGCTTTTCTTTAAATACGGTTTTAAATTTTTCGACTGCAGTAGATTTTCAAATAATTCGCTTTGGTTTTCGAAATATTTAACTTTTCAGTAAGGTTTTACTATTTAATTCCAATTAAAAATGTTAGTTCGAAGTAAAATAATAAAGTTACTACATCATTCGCAAAGTGGTATATATCTGTAAACAGACGCAAATTTTCGACAAATCTTTTTTCACAAATTACTATGACAAAAAGATAGTCATTAGAAACGGAATTTTGCATGTAGGTTCGGTTCTGCCCAATGACAACACCTAAAGTTTTGATAATGATCGGTTATTGAGGGGCCAACAACATGCTTAAAACGTGGACCTAGATTTCACTCCGAGAAATTTTAATCGGAAGAAGTTAGCGGCGCGTATCGATGTATGGGAAGCGGATCTGCGGGTAAGTGGATCTGCATATCGCGAAATTTGACCAGGTTCGGGATTTAATATTGCAGTCCTTTTAAAATATTTTTGATGGCTTAACCTGCACACTTCACAAACGCCGTTTTTCCATTGTTATGGTTACACTTTGCCATATCAACTCATACTTTTGCAATGTAGGACTAATGTTAAAATTATTTCAATCAGAACTGGTCATTTCTTGACATATGAAATACGCCCTAATAGTTTTGCATTAAACATTTGATTTGAATTTATTTCAAGTTTGAACATATTTATTGTAATCTTTATGTTTAATTTCTATAAATAAACATTTTGGCTATAACTATGTGAAGGGGTCATCCACAGAAATCAGTTGATCAGAGATGTTTGTTTTTGACTATCTTCTTGTCATATATTGATGGTCGATTTTGTAGCATTTCTTTTTTAAACTAGTGCGAAAAGGTATAGAATATGCCGAAAACTTAACTTATTGTTTGACAGCTGTGCCAAAAACCCCCAGCCAGGGGGGTTTTTCTACCGCTTCTAAGCTTCATGATTTTGATGGTCTCATTTGGTTCAAGATTTTATATATATATTTATATTACATATTGCCAAGCCTTTCCACCTTAGCGCTTTGAAATACATTTCACATTTCATAAATTTCATCATTATATAGTGGCTTAAATGTAAATGGGGGCGTATTGGACCACTCAAAATATATTTAAAAAATTTGAAAACAGGAGCAAATTATATAATTGATGAAGAGTATGTTTGCAAATTGGACTATTTCAAAGCATTAAGCACTTCGACGCATTTTCTACATTAATGATTTGGAACACATAGATAACTTCCACTGGGAAAGGTGTAATGGAAGGACTACAGTTAGTTGGTGTTCAATATCGACAAGATACACAAAACTAATTGAATCGTAATAGAAATGACACTTGTCAGCCAAACAAAAAATTAATTCGAATTGGTTTTAAATTGCAAAAATTATCATCTCATTGCAGAGCATTGCACATGAAAGAGCACCCAGACTACAAATACCGGCCCCGAAGGAAACCCAAAACCCTTAATAAATCACCCGTGCCAGTTGGCCACAACAACATAAATGCGACTAACAACAGTGGCCCGAACAATGGCGAATCGCATGGTAATGGGTCAAACGGTCTGCTCCACAACCATCAGCGAACAGGACATCAGGCTACATTGCCGTCAACTTCGAACATCGCTGCCCAGAAGTACTCCTTCGGATCACCTTTGGAACTAACATTAAACATGCCTCCACGAATTTCAAATGCTTTCCCCGCCGCCCTTTCACACTACCCACTGGACCCAACTATTGCTCTCGATTTACAGGCCCGTCTTCAAGCGATGTACGCTGGCAGCTTGTACCACCCATGGCGTTATTTCGGATGTACTCCACTTATCAGCCCTGAAACGCCACCCTCTCCGCCCAGCAGCAACAGCACTGGCGTATCGTCGTTCGGCTGCATCAAATCTGCCAAATCTTCACCGACACTAGCAATGGCCACGGCACAGACGTCTAGTAATATTATTTGACCAACTCCGTTGCGTTTTGGTGCCGCTGAACCTGCCGTCTAAGTCAAATTGGCATCCGTGGCTAACATTGGAATGTGGAATGTGCAATGGCCACGGCACAGACGTCTAGTAATATCATTTGACCAACTCCGTTGCGTTTTGGTGCCGCTGAACCTGCTGTCTACGTCAAATTCGCATCCGTGGCTAACATTGGAATGTGTATTCCGAACACTGCAAATAGACACAGATTATAATACGCGGTAAAATCGGCATTACCGCGAATTATAATTTGCGTCCAGTCCTGCCCACCAAAGGAATAAATGTTTTGTTCAATTCACTTCTATATTCACTTAATCCGGTCGGAGTTACTATTCAATATTCTTTAAATTCTAAACATTACATCGCACATACAATTTTTCGCTGCGGGCAAAGTCGATCCAATAAATCGAATAAAACAAATCGAACTCCGAATTCTAGTTGCCCTTTGAACAGTTTGATATCCGTGCGCACGACATTTTCATACATACACAGGCATTGACTGACTGTCCACACAACAAGGACCGGTATCGGAAAACGCATCATCTAATCTTTATCCTAAGTATGTAAAATACGTAACATTACTTAATAACATTTGTATATATTTTTGTGATAATGCCAGTAAATAAATTTTAAACACCCTTTTGGTTTTCAATGTTAAGAATTCGCTGCATGTGTTTTACTTCCAATAGGGCTTCAGGTTGAGCAAAGGCAGCTCATGCTCCAAAGTTGGCAGAGAACATTCTGTGGGAGCGATCATTTGTCTACGTTTCACCACACAACTCCCCGTTCTCGATGTGATTAATAATGACGGGCCGCCGTCGAGTCCTGGCGGAAGATGAGAACACACAAAATAAGGCAACTGTCATCTGCCTCTCGACTTTGGATGACAACATTATGTTTCTTGATGCGTTCATTATTAGGTTAAATTGCATTACAGCAACATCTGTGTGTGTGTGTAAGTGATTTGTCTGTGGACGTACATGGCAAATTTGCTGTAACAGTACACAATATATCCAATCTCAGCCAGACAGCAAGCTAGCCACACAAACGGCAGTAAGTCATCCCTGCAATGGGGGAGGTTTCGATGCGGCATGGCCCCGTGGCATTTGTCGCACAGCGAATAAACACTGGCGTTTAGCGTGTCAAATTCAATTTAAACACCCACTTGTGTGCGCACTCATCTGTGGGATTACAATTCGTAAGATAGAAACGAATGGTTTGAGTGATTACTTCTCAAAACTCCCTCCCCACCGTTTAGTTTGAGTCAGATTGAATTGTCGAGAAGCGTGTTGCTGTAATGTATTCATATTAACACTTTGCGCATCTCAACGAAGGAGTTATGGTTTGACCAATCTTTTTTGGGGGCCACTAATATTACCGACCATTCGTTAGCAAAACTTCGGGAAGCTGACTGGAAAATGGAATTTTAAAATTAAATTTTTAAAATTGGAAATGAACATGAAGACATCTTGAAATCTGTATATGATCCTTCGATTAGGCGTGAACGTGAGCCTGAGAGCACCATTATAACCTAGCATATGCGAAATGCAGTTTCAATTTTTTTAATATAGCGGCAAAATATTCTAGTCAAATGACAATCGTTTTTCTTTCTCTTCACAAGCCCAGCTACCGTTCAAGTCAAACGTTTCGGCATCATTTAAGGTCCTGAAGCTATTATCTACAAAAATGTTGCCACAATCCTGATAAGGATTCGTCGCATTCATGGTCTTACTGACAATCGTTTGCTGAATGACACTTCCCCAGCCAACTCAATTCTTTCATTGTTTGGCACAATAGAACAAGGTCACTTCCACAAGTGGCGAGGTGTAGTTATGATTAGAGACGGAATGTGGCATTTGTGCGCCACATATTTGCCAGGACAACATGCCGAAAACGCAACACTGGAAAGTTCTGTCCTACCCATTCCACTAAAGAGCCCGAACCAGTTCGTACAAAACGAATTGCCAATTGTCGTATTTGTTGTTTCACTCCTCTGGTGCGAACACAACAACAATGGATGGGGAGGGAAGTGTGAAATGTTACCAAAATATTTACACACAAATGAAGATATCATCGAGTTACAATGGCAGGGGTGGGTGGGGGTCAGTCAACAACTGTTCGTCTCTTTATCTTTATCTGACTGTATTCAATTGTGTTTTTTTATTGCTTTATGTGGCAGGGGCTGCTACGTTGACTGCCTGCGGTTGTGCCAACACCAGACAGCGGAGTATGGTCTATGAAATCATGACTGTAAGCAGAACATTAAACGGGACAAAGACTCTTCACCAAAGAAGCAAGCTGATGCTGGGAACATTTCGCCGATTCGTAGGACACGCAGCAGCAACTACCCTCTCACGACGAGGGCGACAGTATCCACATCTTAAGTTTACCACAAGACAGTATTTGCCGTGTTTGTACAAATATTTGACTTGTAATGTTGAACTGGCTTTAGACTAGGAGAGCGCTGCTCATTTGTATCGCGACATGCCCTTGCCTTTTCGCCCGGTTGTCTGTGCACACTTACATCCGCTCCGATAAAAGAAATAAATATTATTGTGGATGTCGTGTGCGTGTGCTTTGGTCTTATTATATTTCCCTCTGTTTTCTTTTTGTGACAATGTGAACTGACTGAGTGACTGACTGACTTTCGATTTTGAATGTTTTCCTTTGCCAATCTGTGGGATCAAAGATGACAGTGGTGGGAGTTTTATTAAAGCGCTTTGCCACAGCGACCAAGAATAAATCAATGTGAAAAGGTCTACTTTTTCTGTTTTTTTTTTTTCTTTTTTGTCGAATAGCTACAAATAAATGTTGTTTCTGTATCGATATCCTATGAAATTCGTTTTGTCCAGGAAATCGATTGCAGTAAATACACAAAAAGCTCAAAATGTTTCTTAAAAAAGGTTCATTTTCCGGATTAAATAATATAAAATCAATCCCCTTTTTCGTGTATTCTGTGATCACAGACCAATCAGTCCGGCAGGAATACTAACCCAAAATAATACTGATCAATCAAATATATCACAAACATCCTAGTGCCATTAGTTAATCATCAAGATACAAATCACTTTATATGTCTTTTTTTTCGAACGTATTGCCCATTTTTAATTTTTAACATATTTTTAAGGGCTGTTAAATATGAATCCCCAATCGATCTTTAATCTATTCTTCAATTTATTCAAATTTTCTCGATCGTCGCTAAACTACTCAAAATAACGAAAATTCGTCGGGGGCTATGTCGAAATATGGACCTATAACGATTATTTAATGCGCAGAAATGCAATGTAATATACACGCCACCCTATGGTGGAAGGTATATAAATAGCGCCTTCTTCGTCACATTTCAGGCATGTTTCACAAGCCTGTGTCATGTTTCGAAAATGCCATAATCTTTTGCCATTCCACGCCAAGTTCCAGCAACAATTGATCATTTAGGAAATGTTAACAAACTGCTGCTTCAGTGTGTGTCATAGGCTCAGGAAGTGCAGGCATGCTACTTCTCCCCCAAAAAAAACGAATGCATCCACAAACTACCATAAATCTATATCAATGGACACAATTAATTAAACAAATGCAGAGCAAGCGAAAACATTAAATACATTTTATATTGTCGGCTGCATACAAAGAACCAATTATACAAAAAACCGTTCATGCATAATTGCCGGACACAAAGGAGCAATTAGAGGACGCGAAATGCGCTTTGCATGCATGAAAATGCTGTTGTCAGTATTAAATGTTGAGTGCTGCCACTTCCACGACAGAGGCATGGAGAGTCCATTTGCTTTTTTCATCGTCCAAACGCAAACACGGATATGGTGCAACAATAAACAGGACAACAAAGCCAAACTGGGAGACATTGCTCGTACACGACTAATTGTTCAGGAATGAACCACACGATGCTAAAACAAACATAACCCAGTTCCCCAAAAATTTGCTGTGACGTCCCTACGAAGTCCCCATATACAGATGATCCGAATGGACATCTAACACTCGGGTTATTTAAATTACTCTACCTACCAATAGTATACGCTAACAACGAATGTGCCTGAATGTTGCATCAACCGATACTTGGGCTTCAGTTACGAATGCAACACATTAGGAGAAACGCCGTCTTATGTTTGCCATTTGCACCTCGCATACCTCCAAAAGGATGCCCAGTACATTCAATATTTGCATGGCATTTCTCGTGTGCCTAAAGTGTGGAGCAGTGGCAGAAGCCGCGTGCATATTCCACTAACAATGACGGGATTTTAAATGCAAAGATATGGCGTATGTTCTTCCCAGATAAGCACAAACAACAATTTCCAAATGCCATTTGTATAACTTATACTCACAATGGCGTCAGTATGCCAGCGCACATACATACGAATGCGAATAAGACGATGTTCACGCCTCTGATGCTGAACATATGTACATTAGAGTGCTGCTCACAACACAGTGCCGTTTAATATTAGGCTACTAAATGTTGAGTCAATATACCGTTAACATTAAGGAAATTAGAACATATATATCTGTTCTAATTTATATATATATATATATGGATATTTGTGGATTCAAGAAACACATTGAACGGTTCTGTGTTGTATCCGAACTATAGAAATATAATTCAATGCAATAATGCCCATGTAAGTCTGCTCAGAATCACATCGATTTGAGTCGAGACATTTATAGAACCATGGACAAAGGACACAAATAAATTTTTGCTTTGTAGCTCAAATTCGTTCGGAAGATATCGGTTTGTATCACCTGGAATTATTCTGTGTTGTATGCGAACTATAGAAATATAATTCAATGCAATAATGCCCATGTAAGTCTGCTCAGAATCACATCGATTTGAGTCGAGACATTTATAGAACCATGGACAAAGGACACAAATAAATGTTTGCTTTGTAGCTCAAATTCGTTCGGAAGATATCGGTTTGTATCACCTGGAATTATTCACCGGATACCCAATTCTATACCGATGTAGACATGTCTGTCGGTCTGTTTATTGAAATCACAATAGCTCTAGTAGACATTTAGCA